AGTTGGATCTAAATCCGATGGAATAACAGCATAATAAGCGAAACAACCGGCCTCTTCTCCTCGATACTATCGAGTGAGATTATAGCAATCCAAGAAGCCATAGACATCTGCGCCCAGTTGCCAGACAAACATGCCATCTGTACCGACATTCTTTCCTCAGTATCCGCGATTTTAAACCACGATAATTATTCACACTACCAAACCCGAAATATGATCACCCAACACTTCCCAAAAATTAGGCTCATCTGGATCCCCAGTCACATGGGTATTACAGGTAATGAAAAATCTGACAATACAGCCAAACGTTCTGCCAAATTCCCCTTAACCTACACCCCTTACCTAAACCCTAACGACGTATCTCATTTTTAAAAGTATACCTTTTAGAAAAACAGTCAGCACTGGTAACAAAGAAATACTCAATCTGCCAACGGTTACCCGGTCCCTCAAAAACTCTTCCCTAAAGAGACGATAACAAATCATCATCACCTAACAAACTCTCACTACTTTGAGAGATCAAAGAACAGCTTATGCCCATTGTGCAATATCTCTAATATTAATTGTACCTCGCAATAGCTAACCCCACAGATACAAACTCCCTACACATCCTTCACACAACTGCCAAATTACCTCCCAAATTTAATTTAATCACCACATATCTTGTAAATAAAATGTAAATAGTTAGTCATTTATTCATATGCTAAACATAGATTAATTCTATACAAGTCATATGTAATTTTAGCCGAGCTGGAGGCCTTAGCTACTATTGTTAGCTCTTAGTTTTAACTAATTGACTTATGAGAACGCATAATAAATGGATAAAAATTAATGAATAAGGAATGCCATACAGTCACATTAGGATGATGTATTTTTCTGATGTGCGCTGATGTAGGTAAAATGTGTTCTTCACGAATCGGTGCCCACGTCACCTGCTTCGTGCGTCATCGAAAATTAAATGAAAAGTAAGATGTGTCCGCTCCCCTTTGAGTATACTTTTTGCCCTGTTCGGCATTAATGGGATTTGCTGTAAGACTCCCAAGCTGATTTCAGCAACTCGAGCAACTGTTTGACAGAAAAGGCGGAGAAACGCCTCGAAAAAAGCTAAAAGAGGCGGCTGAGTAAGAGGCTTTCTTTTTTATCTGACCCAAAAGTCATTTCAATATTTCAGAGCCCCTTTTTAGCTGTGCCTTAAACTTTCCGAAAGGCTTGCGAATTTGCGTTTGTTGTTTTAGCCGCTTTCCATGACCATAGAGAGCCATTAAAAGTCAATTGGGCCAGAAATGCAAAGTGCCAGACAGTCTACAGTCGTCGAGTATACTGCCAGAGCACATATGCAACTCTCACAACTTTCTGGCCTCTGAGAAAATAATACAAATGTTCAAGGGTAAACACTGGAGCCCACATATTTTGTCCCTGCTAAATTCCGCTAAATTGACTTCGAGCCTGCCAAGTTGGCCCACATCCCAAAGTATTTGATATTGGTACGAAACCATTTCGGCGAGGGGCATGCTTGGCCCTTGTAACTCGTAACCAATCGTCAACTGGTAAAAGGGAAAAAACCTTATCAGCGTAGTTTAAAGTGTTGTTCTGTAATGGCATCCAATATGCTAACTACTTCATCGATTGATTGAAACCAGGGTTCTCTAGGGGTTTTTTTAAACCGGGGCTTCAGGGCTTCCGTTTCAATTTCTTCTCCAATGGATATAATTTCCGACGTTTCGGTCTTTACCAACTTGGCGAACTTCATTGTTGCTGCATCTCCTCGACGTCTTCTGCCGTCCACGCTTTTCTGCTGGCCAACGATACAAATCTGGGCCGAAATCCGGGGGACTCGGAGGGAGCCACACAGCCATTGAATTTCTTGCTTTCTTTACGGGCTTTAATGGGCCATTTCTCATTGTGTTCGAGTCGTAATAAGGCTCGTTGTGGCTTTCACCATTCGATGTGCATGCAAATAAACGCGCAGCTCGTTTTTACGGCCGCGGACAGCTGACACTCTGGGCTAAGAGATGCAAAAAGACGTGCCCAAGTGTTATCCAAATAAGCAAACATCCTCGATTCGAGGTTGACTTACCATTAGGCCGATAGGCTGGGCTGGTATATGGGGATGATGGGTTATAAGGACGTTGTTGAACTAATTCTGAATAAACACACCCCCGATGGCGAAATAGTCAATTTTTAAGCTATTTGCGAATTGCAACATAATCAGGAGCGCAAAGTTTGGTCTTACATTAAAAATTCCGAGCTGAGCTCTGCTCTGTCAAACATTGTCAAGCGATGTCCAACTTTGGCGGTTGTCAAAGCTCACGCGCCAAATTTCTGACGATGGTAACCAGAGCGAGGAGCCAACTTTCGGACCCAAATTATTTTTAAGAAAATAAAAGTTTTCTGGTGCGTATCTGAAACTACAAAAACTGCGCGAAAACTGAAACGGAAATATGAAATTAAAATTGAGGCAGCTTTCCCCGGGAGATTTTACACTGACATCCAGGTTTCAATCAAATTCAAATATCTAATTTACCTAAATGATCGCTGATTACTGTGAGGCAATGGTGATGCCGACATTCGGGAATGTGTGTTGAGGACAAGAGCAGGGGATTACACAAATCAGTATGCGTGCTCGCGATGGAAACTGCTTCAAAGTTATTACCTGTTATTTCAGTATTAACCTTCCCGACTTTTAGTTGAAAAGAGATAGTAAAAGTTTTCTGCTCGTCTTGCCTTTAGGTTATATTAAATTCCTTGACTTGACAGTGCCAAAAGCTCATTTACTTTAATTAACGTTGAGAATTTTCAACTTTTATTCACAGAGGCAAGTGACTCGAAACTAATTAAAATTCACTCCGAGTTATTGAGCGATGATAACAAAGAACCGAAGGACGCCAATAAATAGTCGACGGAGTAAGCAGTTATACGAGTATAAACGTTTTTAAAATTTGACTCCTTTCTGCAACTCCGATTCGAACTTCGGAAATTTCACAAGTTTGGAATTTTATTTTCCAGGCTTAGAAGCCACAAGCAGGTTATTTCAACAGGCCAAACTTATAAACCATAAAGAAGGCAAAGTTACCTGGCGAGCACAGTTCTGTTAGGTATGTAGTTTTCCGACACCGTTTAAAGCGGCGAAGTTCCTGACTGGAAAAGAGGGTCATTTTAAAGAATGTCTTCCCTTAAGACAACTTATTCGCAGAGTAAAAGGGTATTTATTTAAAATTTTGTAACTGATAGTGGGAAGCGTTTCCGACCTTATCAAGTGTATATATTCTTGATCAGGATCAATAGTAAAATCGATTTGCGTCTATCCCTCTAAAAGCTGCAAAATTCGGATTAGGCACGTTGATTCTTGAGATGACTGCACAGAGCAAGCGTCCTGCCACACCCACTCTAACGCCTACAAAACACGAAAAACTAAAACCGCTGAGATCTCAGGAAGTATAAGACCTAGAAAGTTGGGAAAATCATCCATTATCAAGCCCCGTCCACTTTTACGCCAACCAAGCTAGAACAAGATTAAACGCTATAGTCGAGTGCCGCGACTAAAAGATACCCGTTACTGTTTTACACAATTTTAAAAGATTCATTTTCTTAGTGGAAATTCCCCATGCGCCACCTATTGTCGGAGAAAGAATGTCGAGTACCGGATAGTGACGTCACTGCCCATGTGAGGCCTTATAACCTTTCTTCATAAGTAGCGAAATAATGGTCCGATTTGAAAAATCTTTGGTAAAACGATAGATATTAACAGAAACAAGCTATACAACGTCAAACGAAGGCATTCATTATATTATTATAGACGCCACAGTGTTCCGCAGTTTGTAGGCGTTAGAAATACGTATTCTTAAGCCTAACTTTCTAGCTCTTTTAGTTCCCGATATTTTTGCATTTTTGGTTTTTCGGGTTTTGTGGGCGTTAGGGTGGGCGTGGCTAGATGGAAAAAAACATGTTTGATCCGAACTTTCTATTACTTATAGTTATCGAAATATCAGGTTTTCTTGAAAATGCGAAAACCGTCTTTTGAGCTTGGTGGGCGTATGGGTGGGTGTGGCCAGATAATAGTACGACTAAAAGATGCGCTGGGACTCAAAGTTTATAAATACTGAATTTCAACTTTCTAGCTCTAATATTTCCCGAGATTTTAGTGATTTTAGTTTTTCGCGATTTGTGGGCGTTAGAGTGGGCGTGGCAGGATGCTGTAACAAACTTGCGCTAATCTCATCTTTGTATCTGCTATAGTTCCTGAGATCTCAGCGTTCATACGTCCTGATCAAGAATATATATACTTTATAGGGTCGGAAACGTTTCCTTCTATCTGTTACATACTTTTCAACGAATTTAGTATACCCTTTTACTCTACGAGTAACGGGTATAAAAATGTTTACCGTTATAGGAACACTGCGTTCTTTGTAACTACAAGTTATCGAAAGTTGGGATTAAGCGTGTAGTTTCCAATGATGCCTTCAAAGCTAATTATTTTTTTCACGTCTCATCTCAAATGCTATAATCTCGAAAACTATGAGAACTAAAAAGTTAGGATTAGCATACAAACCGCGGAAAACTGTGGGGTCAATAATATTCAAAATTGTGTTTTTGTTTTCCTTATATAACATTTTCATTTACTCAGTCGTTACATGCGTTCCAACATGAGGTATTGAAAATTATATTTTGTATATACATGTTGATATCTTACTTGTTATGATCGGATCGTTAATAATTATCAATCATTACAAACTTAAAAAGATCCAACACTTCATTGGGCTCACTGTCACTTCAGGTTAGCGAGGTCGTCCACGTACGTCGTGCTGGAAAGCTGAGATGAGGGTCACGAACCATCTTCAACGTCTGCTTCGTCATTTTTTCTCTTTCATCCGGCCTTCTATGACAAGCATTTCATATTTCCACTGTTCCGGTTGCTGTTGTTTTTGTGTGGGTGTTGCGAAACTATCACCGTCGTCCCGACTTGTTCTTGCTTATAATTCTTAATTTACATTAAATATTCACAATACTCACGTGCAAAGGAATCTGCTTTATGTTCCGTGGCTTGAAAGAGCCAGTCTAGCATGCAAATGCAAACGACCGCTTCTTAAAGAAAAATGTTACAAAAGTGATTCTTAAATTTATACTGTTTACTACTAGTACTACTACTTCTTTCTTGGTTTTCATTATATTAAAAACCAGATACAGCCTCCGGTCAACATGTTCAATTTCTGTGCGCCAATAAGTTTTGTAATACACTTTGTTATAGGTATGCAAATATCAAATCAGATGACCCAAATCGACTTGGGTGTAAACCATTTTCTTTAACTCTATCTTTATAAAATATTTTTTTCTCTTCTTATAAAGACACTTTAAATATTTACATTTTTTTTTTTGTCGGTTTTAAAGACTGTCTTAGATACTTTCGTTTTAGTTTGCCTTCCGATTGCGTAGTAGCAGACCCACCTTTTCCTTCAGAGTCATTATCGCTGTCACTGTTGTAAGACAAGACAACGTTTAGCAAATAAATCCAATCACTGAAAATAAAATATTATCTCACCCCACAGTGGCCATTTGGTTGAACAAGTCCTCGTATTCATTATCTACATGAGTTGCCTTTATGTTTTTTTGTGGCTTTACGTTATTTTCAATTTCCACCTCTGCTTCCTCTTCAAGCTTTCGATCCGCTGAAGCGTTTTCTAGCTGACGAATGAGGATCTTGGTGGCCTTCGATTTGACGTAGCATTGGTAGAGCAGTACTGTGGATTCAGAATGGTGGATGCGAACATATCGGTCTAGACTAGCTGAGCTTAGGTACTGTCCGGTGACGTCTAAGTGAAGATCACTGATTCCTCCGGTGAATCCTTTGTAAGTATGTACGTGAGTTTTCATGCGTCGAGTGTCGAAGGCCTTTAATGCGCCCATCGTAGTACCAGTGTAAATGAAATTTCCTCTCGCCACTAAAGTCGTAAAACTCATTCCGTGCTCTTCGCTTGCAAAACAAGCCACTGGACGACGCTGCTTCCGGGTATCGTAGAGACGAACGTATCCGATTCGCGAGCAAGTAGCCAACACATTGGGCCCATCTACGAAGCCTATGTCGCTGTCCCACACGGGCACTTCCAGCTGGAGATAGTCGTTGGGTAGATTCTTAGAGCTAAAGATCTGCTTACTATCGGAGCTGAGGTCGTAGACCTTTAGATTATTCTGCCGCTCCTTTCCACCTGTGGCTACAATGCCTCTGACCTGTGGGCACTGGCGCAAATGGTCAATTTGGTCACCCGTAGTGATGACCACAGGCTCAGTCTCATCATCCGTATCCAGCGATATGGTCTGTATCTGACCATTGCCAATACCGGCAATCAGCTTGTCGTTGTACCGGGCTAGTCCAACGATTGGTGCGGCGTTGAATGTCACTACCTTATTGGAGCTCACACCTTGTACAAAGGAATGCACTTCCGCGGTATTCTTCGCCCTCCCGAGCAAAATTTCCGTAGCAGCTTCGTTGCTGAAGGCCAGTGCTGTGACGCGGGAGTCTTTATCCAGGGCTGCCAGGTCGCTCAAGTTACTTTGTCTATATGGGGTATTTTCCGAGGCAGGAACCAGGTCTGAAAGAGTTTCTAAGATTAATGAGTTGTTATTCCTAAGAAAAACCTCTAAGACTGACGTTTAAAGGAGCCCGTGTGTGTTCCCACAAACAATTCGTGCTTCGCCGTGTAGTTTGCATGCCTGACATTTGCCGTAGTCCACTTCATTGTTTATATATCTAATTTAAAATGTGAAGAAATTTCCACGTGCAGCATGAATAGTGTGACCAGAAATTGTACCTACGAAATTTCCATGTGAGAAACAGTGTTGCTCATTCCAGCATTTAGCTAAAATTAACTCAATCTGGCTAATAACTGGTTGAATTGGGAGCACTGGATATTTTCTCAGCTGACCGTGAACGTGTGGATTTACATTTGTTTATAACTTTGGATCATAAATGACCCTGACCAAGATCTACGATGCTGCCACAGTATTTAAGCACTTGGGCGGGATTCTGAATGTGTTTAAGCCACCAGGCATGAAGGTGAAGCACGTGCGGAACGCCATTCTTGGCAACATTTGCAAGGGTAGGAGGATCAAGAACACCTATGTACGTACATATGTGCGTACACATATGTACATATTTATTTAATATAATTAATTCTGGTCGTTTGCAGGTCTTAACGAAATGGAGCAACGGGGGCCCCGTAACTTGCAGGTGGACAGACCTCTTATAGGCACAGGTACCGCCGCCGATCCTGTGTTGCACAACATAGATGGTCAGACGGATCTGTCGGACCACGTTTTGTCCGCAGGACCACGATACCTTCCCCGAGACCTTAGCTGCGTCACAGTTTCGAGCCTTGGGGATTATACTAGCGGAGTCTTGCGTAAGTCAAGAAGAGCCCCTAGAATCGACAAATAAAGACTCTTTTTAGTTTTCGGGATCAACAAGGGAACGGGTCAGTCCATCAGCATTCGAAAGAATCGCCCTGTGCGGGTCTATCATATAACCGGCCACTTCGGCATTGCCACAGAGAACCACCTACCAGATTCACGGATCACTATGCGCTCCAACTACCGACATGTGTCTGCGGACAAGATCAGCGGCCTGGTCGCCTCCATGCAAGCTTCCCACCAACGTAAAATGTTCGAGCTCTGCGGCTTCGGTTTGCAAACCCAGGAGGCCTACGAACTCGCCTGCAAGGGCCTCCTCCGTCCAGCGGACGACAGCCAACCCATTGTCTACGGAATAAAGATCATCCATTTCGAAAGACCGGTCTTCACGCTGGAAATTCATGCCATCAATGAGACGCAGGAGTATTTAGCCATTCTTATTCACGACATGGCTTTGGAACTCCGCACCGTGGCGCACTGCACTCAGCTTCGCTGCGTGCGACACGCTCACTTCGATGTGAAGGACAGCTTACTCCGGCATGCCTGGCACTTGCCAGGAGTCATCAAGAACTTCCGCCAGCAACGTGATATCCTGCGGGCCCACCCACAGCTCCTCCGTCAGCACCGAGCCGAACTACAAGCTACGGCATGATTAAAGTGCCTTTTTTGTACCTAAATAAATGTAGTCGTTACATTTCCTAACATATTAAAATATTTATCTATTTCGATAAAAAAAAATAACTAAAACTGACTGTATTTCTTTTTTATTTTTAGTTTTATCTTTTCCGTGTTTTTTTGTTGTAGTTTTTCGTAAAATAAAAAATTATTTTTTACCATTGTCTCGTTTTTGATTGTAGGGAAGGATCATAATTTGTTTCTCACACTCAAATATCTCTTTCTGCAGCTTGTCTTTCAGCTTTTTGCAGGCTACAGAATCCTGCTCCTTATTCATGACCACCTCAGCTTCTTTCAGACGGACCTGTGCTAATTCCAGAAGCATCTTTCCCTCTCCTGAACGTCTTCGTGCTTGCTCCTCCAACGTGTGGGCAATCTCGATAAGAATGACCGTTACGTAAATAGCGAGTTTGATACTGTGTGGATCCAGACGCCGGCATACGTTGTACAGTTCATCGCAGAGACGCAGCTTCCTATCCAGTTGAACATTACTGAGACCACTCAATTCTAATCCAGCTTCGTTCCCATACAACTGGATCAACGTGTGTTTTAAGTTGAACGTGTGAAAGTGGTTTGGATGCAACATCTGGCTTAGTCGGGCTAGAAGCAGTTCAACTTGATTCGCAGAAGGACAACCCGCCATTAGACCGTCCACCTCCTCTGTAATATGGGTCTGAAGCTCGGCCACGTATGTCCCATCCACCAGCATTGGACAAGAATCGCACTTCCACTGTGTGTTCTCGTCCAGCGGATCCACTGGCAGATGTCTGCCAACACAGGTCTGGTTTACATCCCCCAGACATGCCAATGCACTTATATAAGTCCCATATTCCGTTGGATCAAGGCAACGGCTGCAGCGGCAGCTAAAATGCTTTGTCAGGCGGAGATGGTATTGGCGGAGCTGAGTACCCCATAGGATGTTGGTGTATGTGATACGTAGGTGGTCGCCTTTCCGCAGGTCGCAGCCAGCTCGCACTGTAATCTGCTGTGTTTTCGGATCGAATTGAAAGTCGCAGTTGGGCTGACAGGCATGCTCCATCATACACGCCTGACGAAACAACCCGCTCAATTCCACTCCGGACGGCAGTTCTATGACCATGAAGTTTGTTTCGATGATGCCGCACAAGCGATGCAGCAACTCCGGTCCGCAATCGTGCAATAGGTTCGGCTTGGTTTGCTTTAGCCTACGTAGAAACCGCTGCTGCAGGTAACTTACCACCCTCTTTTCAGCCTCCTCATGCAATTCGGTGCCCATTCGCTCCTCCTCGTGGGACTGCATCTCCAGGAGGGAAGCCCATTTCGCTGGACACTGTCGCTGCAGCAGAAGGCACTTGAGCACCAAAAGGGCATCGCCCCTAAAATAATCGTTCAAAGTGCGGATATCGACCCGAGCAGGTGAACCTGATCCAAGACTAAGCACACTGCATTCCAGGGCCTCGTGTGCACACCCGGAACTGCAGATTGGCCATAGGCATCTGGAAAAGGGATAGTTTAAATGGAGTATTGGGTATTGGTGAGGATTGACAAAAAGGGTCTTTCACCTTCGACACTGGTACTTGCCCAGACGGCATGGCGTGTAACAGCCCACACACAAAAAAATCGAGGCTTCCTTTTCTGCGTCGGAGAGGTGCCACTTGGGACCAACCACCAGGGGCTCCTCGATGAACACTACTTGTCTAGCGGCAATATCCTGGGTAGCCATAAGAAACCTACCCAGCTGAGCATCCTGCTTCTCTCTAAATGGTCTACAGCTGCGCTTATGCTGCGGCCAGTGTTGCTTCTGGTGCTCTTGGTCGCAGTAACGCACCATCTTACACCTGCTACAAGCTTGAGAGGCAGCCATACCGCAAACAGGACAATCCGCACTCGACCCCATATTTCCTGAATATATATTTTGTCCACTGGGAAAGTGCAGCACAATGTTACGTCGGCAAAGCAAATTTTATTTTTGACTAGGTTGATTTCAGCATGCCGGCGACTGCGCGCTTATTTTTAGCACGATTTTCCAAATGATCATCTCTTGGTTTCAGCCAAGAGTACTAATATATCTCTCTTAGAACTAGCTGCCTCGCACTGCTCTCTGTTTACTATTATTATAAAGTGGGATCCCACAGGGTGCTCTGCTAAAAACAACGTTGGAACCTCTACATTTCGCATTTTATTTGAACTTTATTTTGTTTTCTTCCGTAAAATACAAAAGTATACCGTACAAAATAGGCGTCAATTGAAATAACTTAATTTGTTTAGCAATTAATATGATAAATACAATTGATTTAGTTTGTTATCTGGGCACTACTAGTATGGTTCTTGCGGCGCGTCCAAGTCCCGGTAGTGTGATCTGGGTCGATAATCAAAACCACCGGGTCTGTAAACAACGAAAATGAATAAAGATATTGGAATTATTTACGCAAGACTAGGGTCAAGGCAAAGAGACAAAGTATTACAGTTTTTTAGGCTATGAATTCGCATTTATTTCGGGAAAATGAAAGTTAGCAACGTTATTTATCGGATTATTAAATACAATTGGCATAGTATTGTACAGGAAAACGGATATCAGTAGACGTATATAAACCATATTTATATGCATTGCTTGAATTGCTTTTAAAACTTGAGCCAACCTCGCCAAACGATAAAAGCTGCATCGAGATGGCTTATATTCATTAGTATTGTGCTAATCAATTAGTCAAACATATCGGAATTGGCAGGCGCATCCAAATCATGGTAACCGATAAGCCGGCGCTGGTGTTCCAAAGGCAATTCTCTGCAAAAAATTTGCGACACAAGAAAGTTGTGACAAATTTCGATTTAGACCAACAAAAGAGAAATCAAAGTAAAAAGAAAAGAGAATAAGATACCTAAATGCTAAAGTGTGGGGGTATTAAGATTGAACTTTAGTTCTCTGTAGTGAAAAATTAACTTAGTTTATATTGTTTTTTGTTCGCTTCTCTTTAGTACAGCAAGGAAAAGGTGATGAGTATGAGAACTATGTTCGGAACGAAGTTGAACAAACAAATAAATTATATTATCCACTGATCGATTCATGGAAAACCTGCTGTAAATCCTTCCTATCATTCCTAGACTAAAACTATTTAAGACGATATACTAACCTGCGAACGGGAGGGAAATTGCGTCCTCCACGACCCCCCATCATGAGTGTCCCAAAACCGTAAGGCATTGCCGAAAAGGGTGAGTACATTGGCGGGCGGTAGCTATTTAAGGAACGAAAAAATTAAAGTTAAGTTTAACGGGCAAGTAATAAACTTACCCTCCTCCGCCTCCTCGGGCAGACTCCGATTCTAAGCGCTTGGAGCTGCCTGGATGCTCTGGCAACTGTGGGCGCTTGGGATCGCGCAGGTAGTTGTTAAAGTACTGCACCTCCTTTCGTACTTCGTCGACCTTCTCCTCGTGCTTGTTAAAGATGTGCTTGCGGATGAACTCGGGACCCTTAAACTTTTTGCCCGATAATGGGCACAACCACTTGTCTTTCGCCAGCTCCTGAGTGTTAGCCTGCACAAACTTTTCCACCTCAGTCTCGGCGTCCTTGGCTCCAAGGTCCTTTATCTCTTCATCGCTTAGTAACTCTATCTTCGTAAGAAACTGTTGCAATTTGCTCTCGTACGTCTTGATGTACTCCTGAATATCGTTACTGGTAACCCGAACGGGAGCTGGACCTCGGGCATGGATAATGCCACAGCGGTTTGGCATCTCGTCCTCGTATGGATATTCGCAGTGGTTGTAATAGTCTACGGAGTGCACAATTCGCAAGTACAAAACCAAGCGGTCCAACACGGTTATTAATTGCTCGTCCCGCTCTATGGGTTCTCCCTCACTGTCCTTATTTTCACCGGTGAGGCCGAGAAGCTCTTCTTCCTCGGCCGACGCCTCTTCGATGAGATAATCGGTAATGTTTTGCAATACAGGATTTTTCGAATTAAAGCCATATGTAGAGCCGCTCCCATTCCCTGAGGATTCACTCGTACAGTTTGCATTCGACCCATCTGTAGCTGACGTCCAAAGCCTGAACTTCTCGTCCAGATTCAGAGCGATTTTAGCGCATAGCTTAATGTCGGATCGCACCACTTGCTTGTGGGCAGTTATGCCATTGGCTGGGCGTACCCGCCGACTCAAGTCTCGATTGACTATAGCTCCCATTTCACAATCTCGTAGACGCTGATTATTCAGACCCCAACAAATCTCTTTGATGTTAACGTAGCGCATAAATGTTATCCATCCTCGGCGATACCAACGGCGCTCTGCCAAAGGATCTGCGATAGCCACCCTCAGAAAGCCGTTAAAACGGTTGCACACAGCCTCGATTTCGGCTCTGGTAATGGAGGGGGCCAAGTTGCGAAGAAATATTGAAGAGGTGCGGTGCAAGGCCCTTGGCTGTCCATCCTTTATTTTGTCCAAGTCAATAGTTTCGGCTTCGACAACCTTGTTTTCATCAGCAGAAGGCTTTTGTTCTCCCTCTTCTGTTTCGTTTTCGTCTTTATTTGCGGACTTTTTAAGAGCTATCGAAGATGTTTCCAGTATCTTTTCTGCTTCATCATCCTCGGTTGTCTTACTTTTTGGGTATTGATCTTCAGGTTCAGAAATTTTCTTTTCGTTAACCTCATCTGGTTTAGGACTTTCTGGTGCCTCCTTTGCTTTGGCCGCATCTTGTCTGTCCCTTTCTGCCTCGGCTTTTTGCTCGCTTCTAAGGCCTTCTTCCACATCGTACTTCTCTTTAAGCTTCTCATCATCTGAACTAGAGCTAGATTCCGAGTCAGATGAAGAGCTGTCGTCATCGCTGCTATTTCGTTTGCGTTTCTTTGTCTTTTTTGTATCCGACTGTTTGTTCACAGCGCTCAAATCGATTTCTTTTGAATCCTCCTTGAACTCTTTTTTGGGCAGCACCTTTTCTGCTTCCTCATCGTCCCAGTTCTCCTCGTCAGAATTCACAGGTTTTAGACTTTTTCGCTGTGGAGATACAACTGCTGGCAACGAATCTTTTTCATTCAGCTTTTCCCCAGTGGGACTCTTTATGGTTTCCTCTACCGACTTTGTAGAGTCTATAGGATCGGAATTTCGCTCATAGATCACTGGATCCTTAGGCTTTTCGTCAAGCACTTTGAGGTCCTCATCAGTGCCGCCCTCGAGTTTAATAACGCAGGTGTCCAACAGTCGGATCAGGGCATCACCCTGAGAGGAATCCACCTTGACCCCCCCAATAGCTCCGTTCTCTAGCAACTCCACAAAAACATCAGTTCGCCTCTGTAATAAATGGTTTATAATGGTTGCGAAGATTGGTGGATAAAGCAACAGTACCTGTAGAAAGCCTCGTTGTTCATCGCTGCGCCTTACACTGTCCTCGGGATGGTATTTATTTTTAAACCTGTAGGAGTAAAAAAACAAGGAAAACGCTATAGTCATTTAGTTTTATACACTTTTAAAGTACTAATTTTGCTAGTAAAAGTTCACAAAGGGCCACCTTTTGTCTGTGCATGTTGAGTAACTGATGGTGACGTTACTGTCCATGTGAGGCCGTATAACCTATATTTCTTTATAAATACCGAAATGTTCCGATTTAAAAAATCTTTCCTAAATCGATGAGATTGGAAAAAAAAATGTTATACAAGGTCAAACGAAGACATTCATAATAATACTATGGGGGACGCAATTTTCCGCGGTTTGTGGGCGTGATAGTGGGCGTTGCCGAATGAAAACTCGTATCGAGCTGCAGTGGCATCTCTTAAAATAACTTTCTAGCTCTTACAGTTCTCCAGATTTTTGCTTTTTTCATTTTCGTTTTTTTGTAGGCGTTAAAGTGAGCGTGGCTACATGGGAACAAAATTATACAGACTGGGGCACCCTAAAAAACTACATGCCCAACCCCGAAGTTCTATCACTTCTAATTACAAAAAAAAATTTCAAAATTTCTTCAAAGAGTGAAAACCGTCTTTCGAGCTTGGTGGGCGTAAGTGGGTGTGGCGTGATAATGGTACAATCATAAGATGCGATTGCATCTCAAGATTATACATACTTAATTCCAACATCCTAGCTCTAATAGTTACTGAGATCGTGATTTGTGGGCTTGGCAGGATGTTGAAATATTATTATAATATACTTGCGCTGCGTAGGGACCTCGAGAATCTTTATGCTTAATCTCAACTTTGTATCTCTTATAGTCCCTGAGATGTCAGCGTTCATACGGACATACGGACGAACACGGCTTAATCGACTTGGTTATTAATCCTGATCAAGTTTATAGTGTCGGATACGCCTCCTTTTATCTGCTTTATACTTTTTAACGAATAGAATATACCCTTTTAACTGCTATAAAAACAGTTTATTTATTAGTATGGAAAAAATTCTGTGTTTCTATATACTATTATTTCTACTCTTTTGCTTCTTCGCCCGGCTGTTGGTAGTCAGTTTGGTTAATTTTTAATTGATTTTGACAGGTTTTTTTTTTTAATTATCACCGAAAATCTTACCTTCCAAGCTTAGCGCTTTCGTTATTTTTGGGATTGCTTTATATTTTTTTGGGCATTTACTCGACATTCGAATTTAAATAAATCGCGGTTTCTAAATATGAACACACCTCGGCATTGCTCGCCGGGTAATTAACAGAACAGAATTTAGTAGATATCAGTTAGCAGCTCTGCGAGATGACGCAGAAATTCTCAGAGAAGTCTCTGTCTCACAAACCCAATAAGCTGCAGAGAAAAACTTATACAGAAAGTTATGAGTGGCGCACAGAAGAACAGAACAAAAAACGCAAGGGACCTGCAGAGGCATCCGTATCAACCAAACTGTTGCGGATGCACCTCTGGTCAGCTACTAACCATTCCTCGTCCTTGTGAGCCACAAAGAACTCGTTTAGCTGCTGGCGTTTGAAGTCTGTCTTGTATTCGGTGTACTTGCGCATCACCTCTGAGTCGGAGATGTTTTCATCCTGGGTGTCGAGGAACTGTTTCAGGTTCAGCATAGCCGGCTGTGTTAGTGTGTCCCCGCCGACGCTCACGGGCTCCCGAGAAGGTGGGCCATGCCCCACGTGGGAATAGGGTGTGTGCATGGACTGGTAGTGGTCACTCCAGGCCTGCATTAAATACGGGTCATAACCTGATTTAAATAAAATTACATTTAAATCTAGAATATCCTAGCATCTTGTAGTATTTACCCCCAAACCGGGGATTGGGGCGCGCATCTGCGTCACCCCAATCAGGGCGCATTCTTTTACCGGGTGGCATATCTCGGCCGGGTGACCCATAGCGGGGCCTAGGCCCCGGACCCCGGTAGTCGCTGTAGTCCGGTCTATGACGGGCACCTCCGCTCCCGCCTGCAGAAGCTCCGCCCCTGAAGGGATTGCTGAAAAGTCCAGTAATGGTTTTATGTTATAGCTAAAGCCTATATACTACTTACCGTTCTGCCCACTCGTCCCGAGCTCCAGCTGATCCGCCCACAGGTCGACGTTCGTCTCGGCGTTCCGTGCGGTAACTTTCGCTGCGCTCCCCTCGGAATTTGTCACGCCGTTTACGGTCGTATTCGTCGTCCGAATCAGCCATTGTTGATTGTCTGCAACGGAGGGATACAAGTATGTATGTAAGTGAGTGATGATCGTGCTTAACCTCACATATTCTTTCTTTTGAAAGCATCCAAAGGATTTTATCGTTAAGAGTTGTGCAGTAGCCCATATAATATTGCAGGCTACTATCTTTCTACCCGAAACTTCAAATTTTTTATTTCTAAAGGCGAAACCAGCCGCCATCTTGCCAATTTGCGCATAAGCGCTTACGTGTTTAACAACGGGGCAATAAAACCAAATTGTTTTTGTTGTCACTAAAAGGTCTTGTGCTTCAAGATATACGGGCTTTTAAAACAGTTTTTCGTCTACAGGAAATAGAATAATCACCTTCAACTTAAATAAAATAAATTTTTCAGCAGAACGGGGCGTCTGTCAATTAGTGTGACCGCTTTCATGCAAGCAATATTTTTAAAATTATTTTCAAGCTAAAAATACTGAATTATTGAAAATACCCTGCTTCCACTAGCTTTAGATTTCTATATTCTTTTAGTCTATATATAATGCCAGTGTTTAAAGAGCACTTAAATTTACCACATAAATCAGTATTTATTATTGTCGCCGCAAGGCCGATCACCAGGAAATGCCTTCGGAACACTAGTTGATATCGCCGATTGGTTAGCGATATCAAAAACAACAAGAGTGTGTGTTGGAGATAGTGTTTTATTCTGAAATATGTACATTAGTTAGCCCAACCTGAAATACAATTACTTAGCCTACATACCGCAGTTTCTCTTCCCTCTCTTTGTGGTGCCGAAAATCGGTTTAGCCCGGGCCGCCAATTTTAAGCTCGTAAGCCCGATTTAGTGTTACCGAATAATATGACCCTAGAAATCCTCACACAAATAATACTGAATACTAAATTCAACCGTAGCTATTGATAGCCCTAATACGTTCCACGACAATTATAAAAGTTTTATTTTTAACATTAAAACTCATGACTGATATGATTTACTCGTAGAGTAAAAGGGTATATTAGATTCGTTGAAAAGTAAGTAACAGGTAGAAGGAAGCGTTTTCGACCCTATAAAGTATATATATTCTTGATCAGGATGAATATAGAAGACGATTGAGCCATGTCCGTCTGTCCGTATGAACGCTGAGATCTCAGGAACTATACGAGATACAAAGTTGAAGAAGATGAAGATTCTTGAGGTCCCTACGCAGCGCAAGTTTATTACAGCATCCTGCCACGACCACTCTAACAAATCGCGAAAAACTAAAATCGCTGAAATCTTCTCAACTATTAGAGCTAGAAAGTTGCAATTCAGAATGTATAATCTTTAGATGCCAGCGCATCTTATAGTGGTACTACTATTCTGTCACACCCACCCATACGCCCACAAGGCTCAAAAGGCGGTTTTCGCATGTTCTAGGAAAGCTGATATCTTGGTAACTATAAGAGAAAGAACGTTCGAATTAAGCATGTAGGTTTTTATGATGCCCCAAATGCAATCATATCTAGCCACGCCCACCCTAACGCCCACAAAACCCGGAAAACCAAAACTGCGAAAATCTCGGGACATATAAAAGCTAGAAAGTTAGGCTTAAAAACACGTATTAAAGAGATGCCGCTGCAACTTGCCACTCATCCGGCCACACCCACTCTAACGCCCACAAACCGCGAAAAACTGTGGCGTCTATAATATTATTATAAAAATTAAAAATATATTTTGCCTCCTAAAAGCTAATGACTGTGCATGTTATCCAACCCGTAAATATGCACAACTTAGGAAATTCATAAACAATTTTTCAATCACAACAGTTTCACAAAATCAAAATCAAATAAAAATAATATAAATCAACCACTACATTACAACAAGGAAGAGCTGAAGGGCCATCCCTCGCCACCAGGCAGCACGCAGCAACAAAAACCAATCACAGGAATCAAGACTAGGAAAATCAACAGGAAGCAGCAAATCGTGAGGAATTTAAAATTAATATTTTTTTGTTAGTTTAAAAATCTAAAAATCTAAATATTCATTTTGCTAGTGGAAATTCAAAAAGCCCAACCTTTTGTCAAAAAATATTGTTCTGATTTGAAAAATCTTTGGTAGATCGATAGATATTATTAAAAAATGTTATGTAAGGTCAAATGAAGACACTCATTATAACATTAACAGTTTACCGCGGTTTGTGGGCATTAGAGTGGGCGTGGCCGGATAAAAACTGACGTCAAGCTGCAGTGGCATTTCTTAAATACGTATTCATAAGCCTATCCTTGCAGCTCTTATCGTTAGTCTTATATGTACACAGATGTTCGATTTTTCGTGTTTTGTGGGCGTTAGAGTGTGCGAGGCTACATCGGTAGAAAATAATAAGGATTGGAGGAATCCTAAAAAACTACATGCCTAAACCCAAATTTCTATCAATTATAGTTACCGAAACATCATCCTTTCTACGAAAAGCGAAAACCGTCTGTCGAGCTTGGTGGTCGTATGAGTGGGTGTGGCCAGATAATGGTACCACAACAAAATGCACTGGCATCTTAAAATCATACATACTTAATTCAGAATTTTTTGCTTAAATAGTTCCAGAGATTTCAGTAATTTTAGTTTTCGTGATTTCTGTCAACTCTGTATCTCGTATAGTTCCTAACGTCTCAGCGTTCATACGGACAGATGGATGGACAGAAGGACGGAGTTTCAACCTTGAATCTTCAACCCTTCAATATACCTTTTTACTCTAAGAGTAACGGGTATAATTAATTAAGGGTATGAATATTCTACAGATGACTTCGTAGCGCAAGTTTGTATCAGCGCGGGTACACGATTATCTTCCTTTAGTGTAATGTAACAACTCAACCAAAACCAGGCATTTTAAATATATAATTTTTATTTTATTACACGTTTCATATATCGTATATATAGACTTCTGTTAGATTTATGTGTATGTATATATTTACAGCTTATTTATACAACTATACAAAGTGTAAGTGTATCTAGGCCTAAATAAATTTGTTGATACGAAATTATCATTAAAAATTTAATTATTCACGGATTAATTTGCAACTTTAGCTGCTGACGCCAGACCATCGAAAATCCCATACTCGACAGACACCTGTATATAATCGCCCCAATCAGTTATCTCTCCCTTGTCCTCCAACTTAATATAAAACTTCGATATTTAAAGTATACAAGTAATCATCATCTTATATTGTTAGATATTAGCAATTATATTAACATTAAGTAAACAGATTTTAAAGTTAGATGTCAGTTTCATACTTTTAAATTAGTGTACCTAGATACATATCCAAGGCCTATTTTGGACACTTCACCTCAAGCTAGGGTCGATCTTGGTGTATCCATAGTCAAGCCCGGGGAAATACACAGCAAGAAAAAGGTATGCATTCGCTTGCATTTATTTATTCAGTTTAATTGCTAACAATCTCTACTTCTCTCTCGTTATCAAAATCTATATACGGCAACTCAGGGAATATATGAAATATGGCAAGTTATTAAAACGAAATGATATTTGGTTGTTTGACTTATTGATTACTGCGAATAAGTAAAAGGTGAAGAAAACGTTTGCTGGCAGTGTAGCATGTAAATAATAATGCAAGTGAAATAGAAAACTATTTCTAGATAAAGATCTCGATCCGTCCTTTCATACATCTCTTTTTTTCGATTTCCATTTGCTATTTTATATTTTTCTACGTATCTGAAGTGTAATGGACTTCGTTTTGAATATTTTCGGTATGTTGATTAGATTATCGACTTTGTTTGTATTCCTCGTTACACTAAAATGCCATTAATTCTGTTTTAAGTTTGTATTCTCTATTTGTATTTTCCGGAAAAATGATTTTATTCGCTAAGTTCTTCGTCTTCGAATTGTGTGCGTTGTCAATTCATATACGTAGTTTTTGACTTAAAGATATACGCGAAATCGTATCTTGAACTGGCTTTTGTAATTGTATATATTTCGTAGATATTCATGTTATAATTAGATTTATATTACTGATTGCTAGACATTGCAAATGAAATTAGACTTATGCTGTCTCCCCTTTTATTTACTCTATGTTCGAAAAATGGCTGCGGTTCTATAATTTACTTAAACTGCATGGTAATTTCTATTTGGCAGTGGGAAAAACTAAGCTATTTAACTCAAGTCAACTTTAGAGGCATATCTTCCTTTCATATATAATGATTTGCGGCAAGCCGTGACCTTTAGCAAGGCTCAGTGCTCTTTAATATGTTCCTAGTTCAAAAATAACGAAGACGTCGTTAGCTGAAAGTGCTCGGGAAACCAATTTATATAAAGGAAATCATATCTTTGTTCAAGGTATATCTTTTTTTGTTTTTTTTTCCTGCTCTTGCTCTGCGGCTAAGGTATCGCTCGTAGTTACATGTATTTTTATATTGCTTAAAACCTTTCAATCACCCTACATCTGTCACTCGTCTGCTTCATCATCATTTGTTTTGCTTGAGGTAGTTTTTCAATTCAGGATCAATATCTACAAGTTGAACACAAAATGCTTTTAAGTGTGTGAGTGTCAATCAATTTATCTTAGGATTATAGGCTGTGTACACGGTCGTGGTAGTGGGTTATACATAGTTAGGTCTAGATATGGGGGCAAAACAAGTTACAAGTTTACACCTAACAGAAACCCGTGCATAAAAATTAAACATAGTGTCGAATTTCAAAAAACTACATAACGATTTTTTTCACGTTTAAGCTTTAGCTTTGTTTTGGTATATGAATGAATCTGTCAACAAATTGTTACTTTATACCATACAATCTTGTATTTTCGTAATTCATCAGGTTTCATTATTTGTATTTTTGTTTTTCGCATTCTTTGTTTTTATTCTAATAGAGCGAAAGCTATAAATATATACTCGTATTTATTAATATACGCATATATACAGATCTGAGGCGTGATTTAATATAATATTTAAAAGATTTAGCGAGGGTCTATCGAGAGTAATCATTATGCTTGACTTATACTATATTCAACACTCGGTCTGAAAATGCCAATATAGAATCAATCTTAAATAATGCGGCAGGTCATCCGCTCTCTGCCACACTCGGACTTTCATGGTTTTATAAAATAAATGGTATGTAAACATTTCATGTTAAATCTATTATATAGCCTTATTGATGTTTTTTCCTTTGAAATAGTAAAAAACCATAAATCCAAAATCGAAAATCGTAAAGATTCTTGCTTCTTGCTTACAAATTCATCCATTTTCAATCCTCCTTTTCTTCCTAGCCAATTTCACAGCCATTTGCATCGCATGCAAAATTTTGTTCAAATTCTGAATTCCTAGCTCATAAGTCTTTCACTCGCATCCCATTATTTCTTAACTTTTCCTTAGCAAAACGAAACTCATGAAATATGACAAATATTTGCCAAAATAAAAACACTTGGGTTTTGGTTTATGTTTTTGCATTTTATGTTGGCTTATTTTCGCTTTGTTTCAACATATTTTTTCATATATTATATACTTTTGCTTGATTTCACTTCTTCCATTTGCGGGAGTTGGGTAAAAAGGTAAAAATATTCCGTAATTCGTAATTCATATTACGATGCCTTACATTACATGTAGAACTACAAAACAAGGTATGCATAAATGTGACTTTGTATACTTTATATTATAATAATTGAACGTACTCGACTGTGCATGCTAGAAAAGCTCGATCTTAAACCGATTGTAAAAACCAAACATATATTGAGTTCGATGATCCGGGATCATCTCTAGTTTTGATCTTCCCTGGGGGTTCCCTCTTTTCAGATTAAGATTTAGATGAATAAATAATTCACTGCTTTCTGTTTGTCAAAGTGCAGGCTACATTTAATAAGACTTCTCATCATTGAAGCCTTGCGCTTGATCGATTGGAGTTGATGTCATATATATGTATGTATAACCATGATATCATGCTACTTTTACTTCATCTTTACACAAATTCATCTTTATAAATTAAGTTCACTTAAACGTTTACATGTGTGGCTGTGTGTGAGAAGGTGTGTGTATGCGTGTGTGTAAAATTATATTTAAATTAAGATTAGTAGTAAAAGTAAAACATTGCACAATTCAAGTAGAAAGCTACATAAGATGGGGTTTATCTTCTTTTTAAACAATAAAAGAATTTCACTTTTAACTTTACCTTTTTTCTTTTATTAATATTTTACAGTGCTCTTTTCTTCGTCTTCAAACACAATTTCTACTAAAATTAGAATAAATTTGATTTACGTTAAAAAAAGGCCAACAATTTTAAAAAATTTATTTAATTGTATATTTTAAAGCAAAATGAAACTAATAAAATATAATAAACATTTTTTGAAAATCAATTGCATAAATTTCGTTTAACATAAAAATTGCAAAAGTAAACACAAATTTGCCCGTTTTTTTTGGTGGGTTTCATAAAAATTTTGGTTTTTCCAAATTTGTTGTATTTTGTCACTCATTCAAATTTTGAATTACTAATGTAAATTTTAAAAATATATATTGAAGTCTTTTGGTGTATGTGTGTATTTATGAGTGGCTGTTACCAAAGGGTTTGTTGAACTTGAAATTAATATTTTTTTATACTTAATACCTTTTGATGCCTTTAAGTTTTTGAGTAAGACTCCAATCACTTTAATTTCATTTTCATTTGTTAAAGTTCAATATAAAAGATTTGTTGAAAAAATGACTAAATCGATGCCAATATTAGGTTTTTTCTTGCAAATAATCTTTAAGGTGGAAATTATCATAATCTTAGAATTTAAATTTTTGTTTTTAAAATTATAGGGAGGGCATAATAAAATATTTTATTTTATTTGTTTAGTTTTGCTTTTTTGTAATATTTTTTACAGTTTGCCTTTTGTTATGATAAAAAAATATTTATAAAATCAGTCCAAGTTTTGCGTGTTTTTCTTTTTTAATTTGTTTGTTTTGAATTAATTTAAATGTGTTTAGTTATGGTGGATGTTAATGTCATTATCATAACTATTACTTTTATTTAACAGATTTACTCGCGTCGGTAGATTAAGGATTTAGGGTTATAGTTAGGTATTATACAGTTGATTTAATGAATTTTACAGTTAGTAATTATTATTTTATATATTTTTAAAATATAAACAATCTTTATTCTCTTCTCTCTTTCCTCTGGTCTTGCCATACTCTCTTTCTGTTCATCTCATCTGATCTGATTCGCATGCAGTTCGGAGAATCAAATTGAATGATAAAATTCGAGAATTGATCGAGAGGCAGCCGCGATTCCTCGACCCATTAAGGAATTGATTCTAAATTTCATGGTTTTCAATGTTTCTCTGTTCAAATTGTCTCTGTTCCTCATCGCGTTTGTCTTACTATGATTGAAGCTTGTTTCAGTAAGCTTTTTTGTAATTGTTAATGGGTTGTGTTATGTATTAAATCGTATGAATAATAACTAAACTCTAATATTTGCAGGCTTAAGACTAAATAACTGCATTTTACGCTTGTCCATTAGTTATTCATTTTTTTCTCACGGCTTTCGCCTCGATCTTTCCGGGAAAGAACTACCCATTCCTCTCAGTCCAGAAAGACCCCAATGGACTGATGGTGGTGTTGATTTCGGTTTGACTGCGTCTGCTATGCTGTCGTTGAGTGCTCCGACTTGACCGACACTCCGCCGATGAGCTGCTCCTGGTGAGAATGCAGGGCTACACCCATCAGGGCCATCGCCGTCTGGGCGTTCGCATACATGCTAACATTACCACCCACACCGACACCGACTCCAACTCCAACTCCGTTGCCCATCGCCACTGCTGATGTGGTAGAGCTGGCAGGCACGGAGGCCGTTATGCTGGAGGAGGTGGTCGCTGCCGTGATGGGTCCTATGGCCCCATCACCGCCAATGTAGTCGCTGCTCGTACTGACCGCGGACACAGTACCAGAACCGGAAACGGAGGCGGACACGGGAACGGGAAGAAGCTGAGGCTGCTGCTGGAGATGTGACTGGAGTTGGGGTTGGAGCTGGGCTTGAAGCTGAGGTTGAAGCTGAGGTTGCAGCTGAGGCTGTGCCTGTGACTGAAGCTGAGGCTCGTTCTGCGTCTGGTTCGGAGGGTGGGATTGATGCTGGGCCGCAGCGGCCGCCGCCGAAGTGGATGCAGACTCGGAATCGATGCCGGCGGTGATGGCGCCGCCAACGGAGGCGCGCATTCGTTCGGCACGCTCAAGTCGCTCGTTCTCCTCTTGGGTAATCTGGAGGTGCGACTGGACCGAGGGCGGGATAGCGTGAACGTCCCAGATCTCCTCGAGGAACTTGGGCAGTTTGCGGTTTTTGAGCTTAAGCGAGAAGCACATCTCGGCGTTCTGGTTTCCCAGCGTACGCAGCTCGGTGAGGATCGAGAGCAGCTTGGCGTAGAAGACGAGGCTCATGGAGTCGCCACAGTGGCGGTTGAGTATATAAATGCGTAGTGTGTCGATGTAGTAGCTCTGGATCGCTTCGACTAGTTGGGCTTTCTCCAAGCCCGGCCGGTCCGAGAAGATCACAATGGCAGTGAGTAGCGCGTATTCGACGTTGTCCACCTTCATCGAGAACATTTGGCGGCAGAAATGCAGTAGGTCTTCAATGTTGTCTGCCATTCCGGCCATTTTGTAAGAGTCCCGCGTGTAGGATCTGTTATTCGCAAAAAATATGGAGTCCGAGCTATGGTCATAGCGACGCGCCATACGCAGCATCATCACCTCCGACGAGCACGCCTATAAGGGTTAAGGGTTAAGTCTTTTTGGTTAATCTCCGTACTTTTCTAGCTACTCACCTTTAGTAACGTTATCTGGTCCTCCTGAGGTATCTTTGTAAACGCTGGTAAACCTTTAGCGAACTCAACAATCAGCTGGACAGTGAGTATGGTTATCTCGGTGATGTGCCGAAAGCTAACGTCCGTCTGGCTTTCGTTCTCATCGGGTTGACTCTGCAAGGATAACAAACGATATAAGACTCATTGTTTATGTGAGATTTCGGCGGGACTCACCATTATACGCCTGAGATCCTCTTCTGATGGCTGCTCATAGCCATCCTGGTACCAAATTAATTTGTATATAACGGCCAACTGATTGTACGTTAATGGAGGTATATTGCGCGCTTGACACTTGGCCAAAATTTCATCAGGTAGTAACTGTATCGGAATAGAAGAAACGTAAGTTTAGGGTAAGAACTTGGCGACAGATCTATGATAGCAATATTCTGAGCACTCATTTCGAACGTCACTTGATGTAAACACTTACCGGAATAGTGGCATGCTGTGGCGCCTCGCATGTCATAAGGTCAAGAATCTCCTTCTTAACAAAGTCGTGGGCGTTGCTAGAGCCCAAGTTGCCGCCGTTGCCGCCGTGCTGCGAACTGGGCGACGTGGTCATCTTGTCCTTCTCCTTCTGGGCCTTCTTCTCACGCCGCTTCATAGCGCACTGGTTTTCCGGCACGACGCACTCCGGCCGCATGCCGACAGCCAGACACTTTTTCAGACGGCACTCCTGGCATTTGCGCCTCATGTACATATCCATTTCACAGGCGCGCCCGAACTTGCAGCAGTACACGGCGCTCTTTGTCACACTACGACGGAAGAAACCCTTGCAGCCTTCACAGGTGAGGGCGTTATAGTGGTAACCGGAAGCCCTGTCGCCACATACCAGGCACAGCTCCTCCTGGACACGGGGCGCAGGGCCTTTCTTGCTCTTTTTCGCATCGCAGCTCTCGTTCGCCGAGTATCCGTTTAGGCTGCTCGAGGGCGAGAGATCGTCGCGACCTGTCGGCGAAAGGAAGGGGAAGGCACATGTCGTTAGTATGGGTTTTCAGCGGAGATCAATAAAACATTAGACTCAAATACATAAATTTCATCGGGCGGTGTTCTATGTTCTCCACCATTTGCATCTTTTGCGAGCTCCAGATTCGGATGGAACTCGTTTGCCTTCTAATCTGCGTTGCTGAATCCAATAACTGGCAAACGGAGCTTAACAACGCCCACCCATCCATTGTCCCCCGAGAAATTTAAAATTCAATTAACGTTGTCACTCAAAGTCCACGGAATGAGGCACGAAATTATTCGCGTCAGTCGAAATCGACCAAAGGAATGTATGGGCAGCGGAATAAATGGTAACAGGGTAACAAGGTAAGGTTTTTGAGAATTGCAGATAAACTTTAGATTTTATTGGATTTGCAGATAAACTTTAGCTTTTAAGGGACTTGCAGAACTAAATACCGTTATACTTCTAAACTATTGATATAACATTCTCCTGTAGCTAATATCTTAAGCATAAATAATTATCTGTTAGCTGCTATTAAAGCCATATACATAGTTCTTTAAAATTCCGAAATTTATCGGAACCATCCGCGGTAGGTTCACAATACTTTCTATTATCATTCAGAACCCATCAAGACGCGTTATCGATTACGTTAAAAAAAGAAAACATTGAGTGGGGATCGGAAAGTCTGAATGGTTTTGGAGTTGCATTATACGAATAGTCACGCTTGCAACACCACCACAAAGAGATAAAAGAATATCAAGTGCAAGTTTTCCCCACAAAGGCGCTAACTATGTGCCGAGGAGCGGCCTTCGGGAGGGTCTGCAAAAGGGGGGAAGTGGGCGTTGGTAGCGTTAAGTACGTGCTGCTGTTGCAACTGCAACAAAAATAGCCACAGGAATGTCAGTGACAGCAGCGGCAATGGCAATAGAAGGCTGGCCAAGACACGTCCCAGACACTAGACTAAAATACATAAAGCAGAAGGAATCGAAGCCAAAGTGGCTAAGACGTCACTTGGCCACAAGTGGCCCCACCTCCTGCTCGAGCTCCTCCTCCTCCTGCATCTTTTCCTTATGCTCTTGTTCCACCTCTCTTCTCGGGCTTCAACTGCAGCAGAGTGCAACGCAGTGCATTGTCGGCCTAACACAGTTTCTAGCAACCATTTTCTTCCTCCTGCCCACGAGATACAATGCCATAAATACTACCCATACGCCCCGTTGTCTTCAGTCTTGGGTCTTGGCTCAGGGCTACTTTCCCTCCCCTTCTGTATTTACAGCGTTTCAATTTCACTGCCAGCGAAGGATGTAGCATTGGGCAGCGGAGAAAATGAAATAAACGACGACGGCGTCATGCAAACTTTGTCTGCTTCAGCGGCTCATTGAAAATGGAAAATGAAGAGACGCCAACTTGACTGCATTTTCACTGCACTAGAGCGCCATGTTTGTGTCTGTGTGTGTGTGTGCGCTTAAGTAGAAATGTTAAAATTACTTCTGCTTCGGCAGGAAAATCGCGTGGCAAAAAGTAAAAACCTGATTTCTAAGCTGGTAGCAAAGCCAATGTCAAGCAGGAAGAGGGGTTGAACACCACGGGATTGCAACTCCAGACCCGATGGAGCACCGCTTAGTAAGCGCCAGGTGACTGGAAAAGTACACACCCGCTCACCCAAAGGCCTGAGTTTGTGCAACATCAGCTTTATGACTCTCTGTAATTATTTCTTACGCTGAAATGCAACTTAACTACAAACACCAAACACACACATACACAGACCCACAGAGGAGTCACATTACATTTTTCATTTATGAAAAGAAATTTTCCATCGCACGCAATGCCAGCAGAGGAGCGAAACGCCATCGGGTAAGAAACAAAAGCAGAATGGCAATGGATGAAAAAAGGGGACGCCAAAGCGGCAGCCATCGCAACAGAAAAGACACGCCGGAGTCCGCCCAATTGCCATGCAACCGCTCTGGAGCTGCCCACGTTTGGAGTTCATTGTGTTATTGTGCTTAGTCGCTCGGTCTCTGTTCGCCAGTCCGCACTACATACCCACATAATCCATTTAAGCGACTCTACCGGCAAAGGCCAAGGCAGCGCTATCGGATCGGGGGAAGCGGCAACAAGAAAGCTATAGCCATATACTCGTACTCGTATATGTATGTATGTTCATCGTCACGAAAACAAACTGCAGCCTGAACCACACCAATTCCACATCCATGCTGGCGCTGCACATTTTTACTCCAAAACTAAAAATATCGATTGGGTTTAGGATTTTTTTTTCATGAAAGAAATGGTCCGTCAGAAAAGGTCTTTTCTAAACACCATTGTCTACGCTCTTTAGGTAACAGAACGTTATAGATAATGCAGATATGCAAATGCAGATTATGCCAATTAACCATGAAGCTCGATTTCAATCCATATTTGCCATAAAAAAGTAGTAACTAGTAGTTAATCCGAAAAACAGCTTACTTTAAAAATGCTACTATATCTTTTTAAGTAGCTAGTACATATAGATATATTGCCTAGCTTTTTCGTTGAAGAAGGCACAACACTGGGGCCCAGCAGCCTGCGCTCTTTTCCGTTTTGCTCGCTCTTTCGCCGGGGCTCTCTCTGCGCCTCTTTGTCTGTTTGTGCTGTCCCTTGCTGAAAAAACTGAAAAATGTTGATGTAGGCCTCGAAATATGCAGTTTGCCTTTGGCATTGCCACTGTCACTGCGGGCAGCGCAGTCGGCGTTAGCAACAACCCCATTCGAGTGAGTATGTGTGTGCGAGCGCTTATGTGGCTGTGTGCGTGTACTGGAGAGTAGATAGTATGTCGCACAAGCTTCTGCAGTGGTATAGGTAAGTTCTCCCTTCTGGCTCCGTTTACTGCATTTTTCATCTCATTTTTTCCGTTCTTTTTGGCTTTTCGTTGCTTTTTTCACATACCACTTTTTGTTGTTGTTGTTTTTGCTATTCCCTTTGTTTTTGTTGTTGAGCTCTATTCTATGGCGAAAATGACTTTTTATTTGCATTTGGCTCGCTTGGGTGTCTGTGTGTGTGAATGCAATATTTTTAAGCGGCTTCTTTTCAATGAATGCATAAAAGGGGCAAAAAAGTGGCAGCATGGCTGAGCATAGAATAGAGAAGCGAAGTAAATAAGTTCCAAGCAGGCCCACATCAGAACTTCCCTCGCGTTATAGCAAGTTGCAGTCAAGTAGAGCCGAAAATAATCAAATGTCAGACTAGCCAATGTATGCTTGTACGATTAGCAGCCTCGAAATGAGAGCCAAACAGGGAAACTACAACTGATTATATCGATTGCTTGAGTATTGACATTGTTTTGTCTCAACCGATAGTCGAGAGCTGATTGTAGAACAATTTTTTTGGTTGGTACCAAGAGTTTATAATATAATCTCAGATTATCGTATGCAGTTTTTTTTAAGTCATTGCCTCAAAATCTAAAAAACAAGTTGCATTTAATGTTCAGTGGGGAAGCAAGGATTCTGTTTGTATTTTCTTAGCTTTCTCTTGGTGCCACATTTATCGTAAATTATGAATCTCCCTTTAAATCAACCGAAATGAAGTCTGGAAAAGCATTTGTATTTATTACATTTTAGAAAATAAAATGGAGTTAGAGTTCTTTTCGATCGCAAGCAAACGATATCTTATATTCTTAACACTTAAAGATACTAAAAAGTTGACATAAGCGAATACCGACGACCCTAAATCAAAACAAGTTGAGCAGGCCCAACTAACCACCAAACTGCAGGGCTTACCCACAAAGGGGATGATTGCTGCAGGTGGTTGGGGTTTCGGGGTCGGTCCACCTTGGCTTTGGCCGTAACTAGGATGATTTGTGATGGCCAGCTGGTCGAGTAGCTAAGACCAAAATCAACCTAGTCGGCCCATCCAAAAGGGTTTGGGGCTTGTTTAAGCAAGGTAAACGTAGAACCGGAGTTAAAAAACTGTACCACATAAAGCGCATGTCCAATGCACTGTGTACAGTTCCTTTTCTCTCTCGTTCTCTTTTTCTCCTCTCAATCCCCCGTTCTCTTTCGTTTGTTTGGGGTTGCACACGTTTTTCTGTTCCAGGGGTTTCTCTAGTGCAAGGCTGCAATTTATTTTGCACGAGTTTGTCAGTTGTTAGGCACGTTTTGGCACCCTCAAGCCCCCGGAGGACCCCTTCCGCCCTGCCAAAGGAATTGATTTTTTCAGTTCGTTGGCATGTTGCCGCCTAGCCATGCACTTTCTTGCTTCTGGCCAGGGGCTGGGACACGGACACGGACACGATTCCGAATCCCGAAGAAGGTAGGGGATGCACTGTGTGCAATAGGTGGCTCAAAAATGATTTTTAACCTACTTTGAAGCCAGGTCGACATTTAGACGAGGGTCGTCGCATGACCTTTTGCCTGTTTCGGAACGCATTACATGACTTTTCAGCTTTTTCTTGCCTTGGAATGTTTGATGCCGTTCTGGCTTGGTAGAAAGTGCAAAAGATTTTCTTTGTGGAAATCGCCATTTTAGCTTATGGAATTTATAGCTTCCAAAAAGCTGCCTGACTTAGTTTCCGTTTTTGTTGGATTGGTATACCTTGTACTTAAAGGAAAAATTACAATGAGCTGAATAAAAAATCTATTATGGTGACTATTTGGCTATATAATTTCGCCTAAAGAATCCCCTTCCCGATGTAGGGATGTAATTCGATAACACATTTGGGTGTTTCTCCATTGCATCAACAGTTCATTTGATTAAAATTACTGTTAGGTGGCAGAACAAAGTCTTCGAATGGAGTTTTGAATAGGTCGAAAGCACTGTTTATATTTTTCTCATTAGGTTTTACTCCCCATATATGTGTATATATATGTACATATGTATTTTGGGCATTCTCACTCCTTTTATAAATCCGCTTTGTACTATCCCTAAATCCAGCTTTCCCGCTCTGCCGGTTCACGGTTAATATACATGTATGTATGTAGCACATGCATATGTATGAATGCATGTATATCAAAGCCTCTGAGCTATGCACATG